CCCCTCCCCGGGCGTGCGCCACCCCCCACATCCCCCCCCGCCTTTTGGGTTTCGACGGGGAAGCGCGGGCCCCCCCCCCCCCCCCCCCCGCTCTCTGAGTTCCACTCCTTTCTTCTTCTCTGGAAAAGCCAGTGCTGGCCCAGGGCATTTTAGGTGCTCAGCGGGGCAGAGGGGAATGGGAGATAGGATCTGCACCTCAGCCTCCAATGACTGTGCTTTCTCACTCGCCCGCCCACGCACAGAAGAGAAGTACGTCACCGTGCAGCCCTACACGAGCCAGAGCAAGGACGAGATTGGCTTCGAGAAGGGTGTCACTGTGGAGGTGATCCGAAAGAACTTGGAAGGCTGGTGGTACATCAGGTAGGCGTCTGGCTCCGGGCAGCAGAGCCCACGCAGAGCAGGCTACAGACGGATGATGTGCCGACTCTGCTCAGCTCACAGGCAGCGGTGCAATCCCTCCCCTGTACCTGCCAAGAGTTCAGCCCATCTGAATTTTGTTTTCCTCATCCACCTTGGCTGCCTAGCCTGTTCTTCAGCTGAGACAACCTGAGACACCAGCTTCCACAGGCCCTGCTAAGCCCCAGCGGGCGCTGCCTCTGCAGCTCACAGCTCAACACTCAGGGCTCCAGACACAGGCCTCTCTGATGGTGGCCACTGCACCCTGCAGGGCTGGATGTAAGGTGGGGATAGAAGTGAGATCTCTTCCCTCCTTCTGTCTGTCCCAGAGCCTAATCGCTCTTCTCAGTGAGAGATTCATTTTGGCACGTCTCTAGAGGACTATTGTAAGCTGAACTCTGTGGGTCTCATTCTGCTGTTACCAACCCTAGACCTGCCTTAAATGGGTTTGTGTTCAGAAAGTTCCTTTGGGGCAGTTCAGCTGTGGGGAATTTGCTCAGCTTCTCTCTCTTCTGCTTGCAACCCGGCTAACAGAATAGTCCCCTCTATGAGCTGCCTCGGTTCACCACACCCCCAGACTCACTTTGGCCCTTTTCAAAGGCCCCTGTGATCCACCAATGTGCACATTAAGCAGCACTGGCTAAGTGGCTCAGAGCACGGCCAAGCTGGGAGGCCTTACAGGTTAGTCCGGGCTGCAGCCTTAGTGTGAACTGAAGTCCCCGCCACCCTTGCCCTGGCGCCCTGGGGGACTGGGGTGTACCTTTCTATACTGTTATGTGGCATGGGGCTGTTTACTTACACATGTGTTAACCCAAGCAGCCACTCCTGGTCTTTTATGTTCTCTGAGCAATGAAAGCTGGAACCAGCCTGCAAATCCATCAAGCCTGATATGGAAAGGCCTGCAGGCTGGTGGCCTAAGTGATCACCACAGCTGCCTTTTATAGTGTGGGTTTTCTGTTTGTTTGTCTGGGAGAGTGTGTGTGTGTGTGTGTGTGTGTGTGTGTGTGTGTGTGTGTGTTACGACAATGAATAGATGAAAAGCGTCACTCTGGGCAACTTCTAGTCAGCTACTGTCCCTACAGCTTGGTCCTTTTCAGCCAGTGAGAACTTGAATTGAGAAGGACCCTAGTGATCCCGTTCTACCTTAAGAAGGCTGCCAGATACCTCCTTAAACATGCTATTTCCCAACATTCCAAGCTGTGTGTTGATCCTCATTTCCTGTCTTTCTTTTCCTCCCCCAGCCTTAGTCTCTCCCCCCTTTCCGTCTTATTCTCGTTCCCTCTCCCTTCCTCTCCTTCCCTCTTTTCCTCTCTCCCTGTCTCCTCCACATTCCCTCTACAGCCTGCATCCCTCTGGAGTCAGTTCTACAGAGCTGGGAAACAGCCATGGGGACGTTGGGCCCAGACACACAGCCGCCCCCTGACCCCATGCTGCCTGCTGTATCCTGTAACACAAAGCCTGGAACATAGCTTTATCCATACAGCGTGTACAACACAGAGGCTATGAAATGGGACACCCCAGGCTGTGTGTGGGCCTGACTATTACCCCGAAACCCCATCCCTATTCTTCTTCTACTTTCACATAACAAGATACCAGCAAGGTCTTTTTCTGAGCTTCAAAAACCTCAGGCTCTGGGCCTGGTGTGACAGGCTTTTCCTCGGGCCCCTCTGCTAACTTCTCTGAGCCTTAGCTACTACCATAGCAAGGTCAGACACTTGCTGTTTCTTAGTGTTCCTCTCCACCCTTAACGTTCCATGCTTATGAGTACCCATTACATCAGGAGGCAACCTCAGTTCAGTAATGTCTGCCTTCCAAGGAACAAGTAAGCTGGGCACAACCTGTGTGTGCCTCTCAGTGACGTGACCTCCTGTCCGAACCTCTATGTCCCTTTTCTCTTACCTAACACACTCCCAAGATCAAGGTCACATCAGGAAGGGCAGACATCTGGTCTGTAAGAGCCAGCTGTGTCCCAGGGAGCAGATGGGGACATTGCAACCTAGAGTTGGAAGCACTGGCCAGCCAGTGCTGGGCCCGGAAGCAAGCTCCCTGTGGATTTGGGTAAAGGCTTAACACCATGTGGAGGAAGAGAGGGGATTTGTTTTTAAAAGTCAAGGAACCATCAACAATTAAGTCAGCCCTGTCATTTGCCTTCAGCCTTTGTTTATGAACTTTTGGCTTAGTTTTGCCATAACAATGGTTTGAATTTTATCCAGTCATGCGCTTTCATGTGCATTTATGCTTCTGGATTTGTAGCCCCAGTCAGGGTTTTTCCATCAGTGGTGATGGTGGTGCCTTTAGTCCCAGTGCTTGGGAGGCAGAAGCAGGCAGATCTCTGGGAGCTCAAAGCCAGCATGGTCTACAGAGGGAGCCCAGGACAGCTAAGGCTACACAGAGAAACCGGTCCCAAAAAACAAACCAACAAAGACAGGCTTTTTCAACCTTCAAGACTACATAAACATGACATTTTTTTTAAAAACACCATCTTGTAGTCCTGTATACAGTCCTGGCTAGCCTGGTACTCCCATGTAACCTAAGCTGGTGTAACTTGAGTCCTCCTGCCTCAGCCACTGTGCCTGTTTGTTTTTTCTTTTTTCCGTCTTTTTACTGAATGATGAGAGGCCAGATCTCACTTGCTTTTCCTAATTGTCATCAACTCACCTATTGGATAGTTTGGTTTTGGCTCACAGCATTGAAAGGTTCCATTTGTGGGCTCACTCTGTGAACCAGATCTGTCTGCTGTCCCTCCTGCAGCACTCAAACCCTCCCCCATTTGGTGCTGGCCACCTCCCCACCCTCTCCTTTTTGTTGTTGTTGTTGCTGTCTTTTGACACAAGCTCTCTTGTACCCAGGCTAGCCTATGTAACTGAGGGTGGCCTTGAACTTCTGCTCCCCTGCTTCCAACCTCCTGAGTGCTGGGATTTTATGTAGGTGCATGCCTCCATGCTTGTTTGTGAAGTGCTAAGGCTTAAACCCTCCCTGTCTCTTTCTTGAGATAGGGTCTTTCTCTTTAGCCCAGGCCAACCTAGAGCTTAAAAATAAAAAATAGAATTATCAGTCTTCGACACTTTTGTACATGTAGACACTATATTTTTACCATATGTGTGTCCCCACTTTCTACTCTCAGAAGGCACCCCAACACTTCCCCTTCCTCTCCCCACTGGGCTGAATTAGTGCCGTCATGTTTATTGATCTTGTTGCCTTGATCTTGCTCAGGTAACGCAGCCACTGTGAGTTCATGGGTGCAACAGCGGAGTCACATCTAGAAAATAGTATTTCCCAGCGCTGCCCCACTCTCCGGCTCTTTCATTCATCTCACGCCTTCTTTTGTGACGTCACCTGAGAGCCTGCAGTGATATAGTAAGAGCTGTAGCAATGCAGATATCCCACGTAGGACAGTGTTAGTATTTTGGAACACAACCTGCTCCTGGGTTACTCAGCAACTTAGGATGTTATCATGTGTCACCAGCCAGGTGGCCACACCTGGCAGGCCTGGTTACCTTGCCCCTTAAAGGGATGACCCCGACACGTGGTCTCTCTCTTACTCTCTTATACTGGCCCTCTCTCTCTTACTCTCCTCTCTTACTTTCTCTCTCTCTCTCGGGGCACCGCTTCCCTTTTCTCTCTCTCTCTTCATGTCCTAATAAACCTCTTGCAGAGAATATCGGTTGACCAGCCTCATGCTTTTGTAATAATAACATTACAGACAGCACATTCAATAGTCAATAATTCTTAGCATTAAAATCATTAAAACCAGTTACAAGTTTCTGCATAAACCGCTGCTGACCACCTCAGAGAGAAGCTTCTCTGGCCAAGGTTGAGGGTAACGTGTGTGTGTGTGTGTGTGTGTGTGTGTGTGTGTGTGTGTGTGTGTG